AGAATAGAATAGAATAGAATAGAATAGAATAGAATAGAATAGAATAGTTTATTGGCCAAGTGTTGGACACACAAGGAATTTGTCTTGGTGAAAATACTCTCAGTATACATAAAAGAAAAGATACATTCTTTTAAATATTGTTTCTAGCAATAAACCATGTTTATCTGAAGATAACTGCCCCATGTGTTTTTAGGTAATTTAACTTAGTTTCAATTATCTGTGTTTTTGTTCACCATGTAATATTTGTTGCAACTGAGTACTATTGTGTACTTATAAATTACTTCCATGTAATTATTATGCAATAAGAACTATTGAATATGTTATTTCTTCTATTTAGCTACCTAATATTATTTATAATCTGCTCCATTCCTGAAGGACTTTTGGCAGCTAGCAAAAAGTTAAAAGCAAGTTAATTGGAATTATCCATAAATATTAATAAAAAAACCAGTAACCATACAAATCATACTACTTCCAAATTATCATCCACAGATGTCATATCAATATGTAATTGTATGAAGTGAATGGTGAATTATGTATTAGATATGATGATCTCATGTGTGTTACGATCTAACACACACTTTATATTTTAGCTTTAATTATTCTGATGGAAAGAATCTGTACTGAATTCAGTAGAATATATTTCGAGTGGACATATTTTGATGTCAGTAATTTATAATGTTTTGTTGTTTTTCAATTATTTTTACCATTCTTGTCTAAACATTAATCAACGTATACAGCACACGAACCAGTTAAAGGATACATGCCAAATAGTAAATCTATGTAATATTTCTTCAATGTCAATATTTTGCAGATTTCAAAAAAAAGTAGCAATTGGTGGATTGCATTGCGTTCAGAAATACCCAGTGAAGAATTTCAGTAAGATTGTCATATACATTTTATTTTCTCTTAGAAAATTTTATTTTATTTTATTATATTATTTTATTATAAAAGCAGCAAACCTGGGCCCAAATGCAACTATATCCTAGGCAGCTGTATTTATAATATAGAAGAAGATGGCATATTTTTCTTACCCTTTCTTTCTGGCAAACAAAAGGGTTCTAAACCAGATTTCCTTTTGGTGAATTTGGTGGATTTCTCAGTGTTCTTCCATTGTAAAATGTATAGAAATAGATGCAGTGAAATTCAGGTTCAGAAAATTTAACAATACTATAGATAGAATATACTGCAATGGAATTTGTAAATAATAATCATGATTGCTCTGTTGCCCCTGTTTCATTCATTTACTTATCCTTTTCGAGTGCACAAAGATTTTTAAATTCCTTAATAACTTAGTGGTGCTAACTCCCAAGAACTGCATACGGGATTGCAGTCCTGATAAAATAGCCAGACATTAATGCTAAATGTACTATTAATGAAAAACTCCAAATAAAGAAATACTTGCTGTTGCTAAATATTTATTGTATTTATGCATTTCTTGTGTTAAATGCAACACAAGTGGTATGTATAAGATTCTTTCAGAAAATCTCCTATCCAGGCATTACAAATGAATGGATCTCAGTTTCTGAAATGTTTTAAATATGTTTTAAATTCCTTTATATAAGTATGGTAGTTTTTTTAAAAAACATGAAAATTCTCAGTGTATTTGTACTAATTTTTCTCTAGTTTTACGATCACTTTTTTCATTGCAATGCATTTTTAAAGTACTTTTCCTAACTGATTAATTTTTTCACTACTTCAACTAAAACATACATATTTAGTACAGTTTTGAATTGAAAACTACTTAGCAAAACTCAGGAAAATGTAGATTTTAGCTTTTAATTTTGTTTCAGGTGTATTTAGGAATGAGAAACACAAATTAGATAAGTTCTTCCCCAAATGGGAAGGACCTATGGTCTTGGAGGATTTCAGCCTGCTTTCCTTTGGGAGCAATGTCTGACATAGTGTAGGAGTTAGAATAGAATAGAACAACAGAGTTGGAAGGGACCTTGGAGGTCTTCTAGTCCAACCCTCTGCTTAGGCAATTCATCACCTGCATGACAGCCATGTTCCAGGTCATCCAGAACCCAACACGGGACAGTGGTCACATATCTGATCTGGTTTTCCTATCGGAATAGTAAAAAAGTGATCTGAAATTTAGCTCTAGCCATGTGCTTGCCTCATGTGATCTTAACTTCAAAAGCCATTTCTAATAACTAAACACAATCTAAATTTTGTTTACAGATGGACAGATGGATCACCGTTATTGTATCAGAACTGGGCAGGAGATAAAGACAGACCAAAGCGAACTCAAGGACAAAAATGTGCTTTTATTTCTTCTCAGACAGGTACATGTTGTATGTGGTTCTTATTAGTTCAAATTATTATATGAAACATTTGGTGAGGTTCCATAATTATGTTATTTTATTCCGAATCATCTTTGCCTATTGCCATAGATAAGAATTTTGCTAACTACTGCAATGTTTGAAAGACACTGAAAACCTCGTTTTGTACTAGAAATTGTTGGGTGAGCCCTGTTGGGTGAGCAGTGGCCTAGAGATGGAGCTCTTGCCTCACAATCAGGAGGCTGTGAGTTCGATCCTAGTTAGAGGCAGATATTTCTCTCTCTGAGCACACTGAGAATATATCTGCTGAACAAAACACCGCATTGGCGACAGGAAGGGCATCCGGCCATTAAACCCTCTGCTAACTCCATTCAGTTGCCCAGACTCCACCCAACAAGGGATTATGGGGTCGTTAAAAGATGATGATGATGATGATTGTTGAGTGAGCCCATCATGGAGTTATATTGTCACTCCAAATTTGGTACACCATTTTTAGATTATGCTTATTTTTAATTCATAATGGCAGAATTTCATGTTAATATACATTTACATAAATATTTAATTGAAGTTATCATGAAAAGTATTCCCAGATTGTGCAATTTTTTAAATTGAGAATATTAATTTGTAGATTTTTTTTTTCTAATATTCAATACTGAGATAGCTTTATAATGTGTACATTTCAATCCGTGGCCTTTTTTTCTTCAGTGGAGATGTGTCTTCATTCTTTGTTTTTAACACAAGGGTGTCATTTATCATCCTGATCCCTACCCGTTAACAAAAGGTATTGTTTATCGTGTGTTCATGTGTATTTGTACCACAATAAATACTTATATAGTGGCTGCTGGAAGTCTTTGAATACTATGCAGATTTAATGCTCTAAACATGATTTCAACAAGAATATCTTATTGCCTTTTATAGTACTGAGCATGGCATGAGAAATTATTTCCTTGGAATAATATTGCCTACACTCTGAATGATACACATCCCTTTTCTTTCTTGTGTTTTTCTTGGGCATCATCCAAAACTGCCTTGGAGGATCTCTGCAAAGTAAATTTAAGGGCGTTCCAATCGAATTAGCCTGGGGTTAGGGTTGCTCATCATTCATTTCCCACAAATCATATTGGAAATGATTTGATTAAAAAACATTGATTGCTTTTTATTTTGTACAGCAGGAAGAACCCAGGAAGTAATGCAAGTAGTATTCTCTATATGAAATGGTTTTTGCTGGAAGCATATTTGAACTTTTAAGGAAATATTGTGGGAATATCATCCAATGCCGGTCAAAGCCAATTAGTTCTTCTGATCTGCTCTCTCTCTCTCTCTCTCTCTCTCTCTCTCTCCCCCCCCCCCCCCCCCCCCCCTCCCCCCCCTCCCTCCCTCTCTCTCTCTCTCTCTCTCTCTCTCTCTCTCTCTCTCTCTCACACACACACACACACACACACCTTCGTGGAAGCCTTGGATGGCCCAAAAATGTTCCTTAAAATAGATGTGATGCTGAGGATCTCTGCTTTGATTTGCAGTGTGCTTGCTTCCTATTCAGTTCTTTTTGTTCCGTATAATCTTTTTGTAAAAGTTAGGACTTCTTATATTGCTGTTTCCCAGCCTTCCTTGAACTCATACTGGTCCTCCTTTTCCTGGCCTGCCTGCGCTCACACTGCCACTGTAGCACCATCTCCTCTCCCATGGTCATGTGATGTCCGGCTTTTCCAGTTGCATTGCTTAGCGACAACCATCTCGGTCGCAATTGCCCTCATTACCCAAGGACGACCTGTATATTAATATAAATAAATATTGAAAAAGTTCTCTTACATTTCCACTGCTATGGGAGTATGGATAATTACACTTGAGGCAGTCCTGATAGGAATATACTTCTCATATAGCTTATAAGATATTTAACTATATTGGAAATATACTTAACTTTAATTTTACAATGTTATTGCATTCTTTTAGGACAATGGGGCTTTGCAAATTGTACCACTTCTCTACCTTGTGTCTGCAAGCGTAAAAATGTACAAATTACTGAGAGAGAAATTTTGAAAGAAGAATATCAAGGAACATGTCCTAAAGGATGGCTGTACTTTGGATTCAAGGTATTTGCTGGTTTAAAAAAAAACCTTCTAGAGTTTTTAACCTTAACCTTAAACCTAAGTGTGGTATGTTGGCCAAAAATGGATTGCTAATTTTAAAAAAAACAAACCCACCTAAAAGCACATGTCTTTACTTTTATGTATGTATTTAAATTATTAAATATATGTAATAATTTAATAAATTATTTACTTCATTCTAAAGTGATAATTCAAGATTACAGGTAGTCCTTGACCTACGAGCACAATTGAACCGAAAAATTTTGTTGCTAAGTGAGACATTTTATTAAGTGAGTTTTGCTCCATTTTGCAATGTTTCTTGCCACAGTTGTTAAATGAAACACTGCAGTTGTTAAATTAGTAACCCGTTTGTTAAATGAATCTTGCTTCCCCATTGACCTTGCTTGTCAGAAGGCCACAAAAGGGGATCACATGAGCCAGGACATTGCAACCATCATAAATATGAGTCAGTTGCCAAGCATCTTAATTTCGATCACGTGACCACAGGAATGCTGCAGCAGTCATAAGTGTGTAAAATGGTTATAAGTCACTTTTTTCAGTGCTGTTGTAACTTTGGTCACTAAATGAACTGTTGTAAGTTGAGGACTATCTGTACTACAGTCTCCCAGGAGCCCAATTTGATTCTCTTGTCCCCATCAATCAGTGTCCATCTGATGTTTCACTAGAAAACTGCCTTTAAAAAAAAATCTGATTCTCTTCCTGAGTGTTCTCAATTGCCGTTCTATTTATATATTGTAGTTTATGTTTCCTTTTCTCTTTTCCAATTAATGGGCTAAACAAGAAGCTTGGTCTGTCACTTCTTTTAACTCAGCTTCTTCATTCTTTCCAAACCTACCCCTATCTAGTCTTGCAAATACAATTTTGTTTGAGTGACTCATGGCTATCCTAAATACCCAATTCAATCTTTCTTTCTGTAAACAGTGTTTCCTGGTGCAGATTCCAAAGGATCCAGCTCACTTAAAAAGTTGGTATTCTGCTCAAAAAACCTGCAGCTACTATGATGCATCACTTGTATCAGTTGAAAATGAAGTTGAACAAGGTACCACACGATGTGTTACACCCAGGGGTGGGATTCCACCAGTTTGCACCTATTTGCTAGAACCAGTTGTTAACATTCTAAGCAGTTCGGAGAACCGGTTGTTAGAAGAAATTACTGGCCTAATCCTGTAAGGAAAGCAGGAAGGAAACATTCTGGTGTTGCTTACAGAAACTGCCTCTCCGTTAACCCTTATTACATTCTTGGCAGGAATAGACTTCCTGTCTCAGGAACTTCTCTGGAGTTTTTTTCCCCTTCTTTGCTGGTACTTTGCTTGTGTGGAGTGACCATTCAAAGTTACAATGGCACTGAAAAAAGTGACTTATGACCATTTTTCACACTTACGACTGTTGCAGCATCCCCACAGTCATGAGAGGCCAGGCGAGGAGATGCGTGCCTCGATGTAAGTGATATTGAGTTGGCCACACCCAGCCAATAATATGACCACCAAGGCATGTCCACACAGTCACATGACCACCAAGCCACGTCTGCCACCTAAGCCACGCCCACAGAACCGGTTGTTAAAAATTTTGAATTCCACCCCTGGTTACACATTTATCAAAATGTTATAACTATACACTTCTTACAGACATATATTGCATATTTTATTAGTAGGACCTCCCCTGTTATCTATGTATATTTAAGGCTCTGGATCGTAAACATAATAAGGTTTTGAATTTATATCTTGCAATTGAATATTTATCATCCTTGATAGAAGACTAGATATAATTTTCGATCAGAAAAAAATAACTTTACTACTTGCAATTGGCTGCAAAATACCACTGTTCAACATTTAGACAAAACCAAAGTATTACATTTCAGCTATAAATTGCTTTTAACTATGGCAGAAGTAAGTAATGCTATAAAACACATGTATATTTGCATTTTATAGGGTTATTTAACTTTGGATAAATTCCTATCTCTTTGTATTTAAACTCACTTCCTCGGATCTCAAGCTTGATACCTATTTTCTTCTCTAATTTGGAAAGCATAGTGGCATTTCAATAGAATTCTTTAAGAACTTTGCAGTCAGTGTCAAAATAAAACACTAAGAGATAAGGAGTATGAAAGTGATATGAAAATAGTACATGAAATAATGTAAAAATCTTCATTTGAGATGGTTTAGTCATGTAAAGAGAATAAATGAGGATCAAATTACATTAGCTATTATATATAGTATATTCTGCTTTGCATAATACTGCTTACCTTCAAAGAGAATATATATATATAGGCATGTTTGTTTAAGGTTCTTTCTTAGCAGTTAGGAATGGCAGTTCTAACTGAAGGAGACTTTAATAACTGACATTTTAGACTGATAAAAAGTCATTATACTTTCGAATTCCCCAAAGGTTGAATCAGCCTGCATTTCTTACTTTTCATCTAATTCATTTAATTTCAATCACTATTAATTTGAAAATAATAATTTAGCAGATCTTAAGTTTCTGAATTCTAGGTTTGTTTTTTTCTAGCTTTCATTGCAATGAACCTATTTGGACATAAATCTAATGTCTGGATTGGCCTGCAGAACCATAATTATGAAAAATGGCTCAATGGACAAGAAGCGGAATTTGCCAACTGGTCTCCAGCACAAGTAAGGCAATGCAGTCTTATTTTTTTGTACCTTTTTTGTATTCTATATTGTGTTTATAATGAACGTATTTCCTAGTTAGATAGAAGGAGGAAGGGGAAGGCTAGAGAAAACATGAAAACAGAAAGCTCTTTCTTGAAGAAGATATTAATCAGGAATAACCAAGAGTCCATTAAAATAGTAAAGATAAAAATGCTCTTGAATCAAGGTCATTTGCTGTAAGTGTTGTGGAAATAGTCTGCCCCCTTCTGGGATTTGTTTACTAATTCCCAGTCTAACCAATATTCTAAAGGTGTTTGATTTATCCAGTATGTATCATATCCAATAGCTACCTCTTGTGCTTTGCATATTAGTGTAAATAAAGCATCTCCAAAGTATTAAAGCAATTACGTCATTTGCAAAATTCACAGGGCTACTTCAAAAGATGCCCCGTCTGTGCATGCACAGCACATCAATCAGATGAAATTACTGGGCTTGCAGAGAAAGATGGGAGCACCTTTCAAAGCAGCTGTATGAGTCTCAGAGATGATGTAGCTCCTTGAAAGCTTCTATGAGACATACTTTATCCAGTGTAAAGAGTTTTATGAAGTACATATTTGAAATGCTTTGCACAGCCATAGAATGCTGAACTATCAATAAGATAGGAAAATAAGCCTCCTCCATTTGAATTGGGATAGCACTATGAAAAGGACAAAAATCTTCATAATATCAGTGAATCTGGTAACCCTGTTGTAATATAAGCAAATGTTGAAGAAAGAAGAAAATCGAAGCGAGAATTATGGAATCTTGTTGATGGATTTTGCTTTCTAAAGATTATTTAATGAATTCAGTAATAAAGTGATGTTCTTTGATAGCTCTCCTATTCATTGTTCAAACATAAATTGTTTCAGTGAAAGGAAATTACATGTAATGTATAGTCTTGGTTCAACTAAGATCATCTTGAGAAGAGCTTGAAAACCTCAAGAAAAATATTGTTGCAAATTGTATCTTTCTCTCTCAAAAAAACCACATTTGATTGGAAATTTTTATAGGTGAACCTCTGGTGGTCACGTAATTAAATATTTCCTATCTTTTAACATATCTATCAAGTGCTTCTAATAACAAAGAAAATACATTAATCATTTGCATAAAGTCAACAATAAGAATATTTATCTGTGTTATTTACTCTTTATCACTTTCCTATGCTAAAATATTGCAATGTGTTTTACTGAGATTTTTAAAAAAATCCTAAATCTACTGCAGAACACAGAAAATTCTAATGAGAAAGGGCAGTGCAGCTAATAACACTGCGTGTTGATTGTTTTAAGGCAGTGAACTGTGGGACCAAAAAGCTTAAGAGGAGAGGAAATGAAAAAAGCTGTAGTTCAGTGTTTTGTGGCATTTCCCATTTTTCTTTTATGTATACTCTGATTATCGGTTCTGTTTTTTTTTTTTTAAAAAAAAAAGTCTGTCTGTGGCTTTTCCCACTGATTTCTATCACAATATATTAATTTCAGAATCATTACATTGCTGGTACTGAAAAAAAAGTTGTCCTATGTACTTCAATACTAAATAATCCAAGTTTCAGTTTAATGGGAAAGTGGTATCTTGAAAACTGTGAGAACAAAAATGGGTTTGTCTGCCAGAAAGCTCAAGGTAAATTGTTATAACCTTATTTATATAAGAATGTGCTAAGCTTTATAATCTAATTCACTAATATCTTTCATACATTGTATGAAGTCTACTACCTAAATCAGGGGTGTCAAACTCGATTTCATTGAGGGCCACATCAGGGTTGTGTTTGACCTCAGGGGGCCAGGGTAGGCGTGGCCAGTTCGACATCACTCATGTCGGGGGCATGTGTGGTGGCCCAAGTGCTTTGCCAATAGAAACGGGCTCTTGAACTCCATTTTCGGCTGCAATGACCTCCTGCAACAGCTCTGTTTTTGCTGGCAGAGGCACCATAGGCCTGTCTTTCGCTGTTTCCAGGGTGGTTCCATGGGCCAGATCTAAGCACCCCATTGGCCGGATCTGGCCCCTGGGCCTTGAATTTGACACCCCTGACCTAAATGATCCATCCAGCAATTATCCATGAGTTAAAATAGTGTTTCTCAGCCTTGACAACTTTATGATGGGTAGACCTCAACTCTCAGAATACCCCAACCATCCAGGATGGGTAGACCTCAACTCTCAGAATACCCCAACCATCCAGGCTGGCTGAGGAATTCTGGGAATTGAAGTTCCCAGTGAGAGACACTGATCTAAAGCTGCACAGAGTTCCAATTCACAAAAGATCTACTTTAAGAAAGTGAATGCTTCTATTTCAATGTCGGATGCTTTGTATAGGTGTATGTGCAGAGGGATTCCCCTTATAGATAGGATGGAAGATATCTACTTCAGGGATAGGGCTTTTATTTATGATTGTAGCTGCTAGTTCAACATATACTCTTACACCATGATTGGCAACTGTTCAGTGTTAGACTTTGGCAAATGGTGATAATCGATGAAGCAATTTTGGGAAAAATTATACTATACAAAATTCTGAATGACTGTGGTGTTGGGGAAGAAATTATTCTACCCGATGACAAGAATGAAAATGGGACAAAAGGGTACAGAAAAACTAAAAGAATTATGACATCTTTCTGCAAATAAGAATGCTTACCAAAACTGTTTATAGGAATTTTTTTTACAGATTAAAGATAAGGGAACAGTGAATATAGCAGGTACTTAAATTTGAGTACCCTTCTAGGTGATTTGGTGGTATTCCTGCTTTATAGGTAGGGTAATTTTCAAAGTTCAGATTGTCATCAGGTTATAATAGCAATTAAAACTAGAATTTCCATTGCTAAGTGATGTGGTCATATAGCATGGTGCCACATTGCATCACACAGCGCTAGCAAACTCAGCTGTCTCAATTGGCATTGTAACCCAGACACTTCACAGGTCATTAAGAGAGGATCTCATGTGACTAGACTCCTAGGCAAGCAGGCCAACAGGTGAGAACTGCAGGTGGGTGGGTGATTGCCTCATACAGGCACTACTGAGCCAGGCCGGCTGACAGGAGTCACAACCAGGTGCAATTGAGCATGGGCAGGCTTACAGGGGGGGCAGGCAGTACAGAGCACAGGTAAGCAAGGGCACTCTTCCACAAGCTTCTTTTGTTGCAAGGATTATTCAGCACATGTGGAGAATACTGGTTTGGGGGAGGTTGACAAGGAATAGTATTAATCTACCACTTGGCTTATTTTTTATCTACACTCTTGTCACAGAGTTCTTTTTTCAATAGCAGTTCAGTGGGCTCCACAAACTCTAAATGTCCCACTCCTTGGCCTTGTTTTAGCAATAATAATAACACTTCAACTTATATACCACTTCACAGTCCTTTGCAGCCCTCTCTAAGCAGTTTACAGAGCATATTTCCCCGAACCATCTGTGTCTTCATTTTACCGACCTTGGAAAGGATGGAAGGCTGTCAATTTGGAGCTGATGAAACTCGAACTGCCAAACTGCTGGCAGTCAGCAGAATTAGCCTGCAATACTGCATTCTAACCACTGCGCCAACACTGCTCTTAGCCACCCAGGTATCAGACACCGGCAAATCCTTGGGTGGTAATCCCAGTTTGATTCCATCCCCTTCCTAGGTCTCCTGGGAATATCCATTTCTCATCCAAGAAGCTGTTTTATTATTAGGAGTGAGCTTCTCCAATTCTCCTTTTCCCTTAGGTTGCTTCCAGTTTCCTATTTGGATTAAAAATCCACAACCCTCCTCATTCCCGGAGCCCTTCTGCACCCTCCAAAACTAGCACATCAGTGACCACAACCAACACAACACACCCAGCTGCTTTGCTGCAGGGGTTTTATAGCAGCTCTTTGCTAAGCAGTTTGTCTGGCCTGGGGGAGGTCTTAAAGGGGCAGGTACCATCAACCCAGGTGCTAGGTAATCTCAGGCCGCCTTCCCTCTCACAACTCTAATAGCTTGCAATATTTGTCACTTATATATTTCTTTCAGAGATGGCTATAGCAATAGTAATAGCACTTAAACTTACATACCGCTTTACAATGCTTTACAGCCCTCTCTAAGCTGTTTACAGAGTCAGCATATTGCCCCCAACAATTTGGGTCCTCATTTTACCCACTATAGCTTGTTTGAAAACGTTCAGTGTCTTAATGTTGAGCTTTTTTAAAAAAAAATTCAAATGACTCTTGATCTTCTCTATCACAGATACTTCTAGACATATCATTGCTCCTTCGGTGATGTACCCAATCCCGGATACTTTAGAATATGCAAATAGGACATATACATTGATCAATGGCAGTATGACTTGGTACATGGCTTCACAAATGTGCAAAAAAATTGGGGCTGAATTGGTCAGCATTGCAGACTACTACCACCAAGCTTTCCTTACCGTAATGATAAATCGAGTGGGTTACGCTCACTGGATTGGATTGTTCACTTCAGATGTAGGTATTTCAAATTTTTGTCAAATTGATGTTGTTTATTAAGTGCATTCAAATTTTCAGGAGAGTAACTAAAGATGTCCAGCAACTGTATGCAAAAATACTTTGAAGTTTAACTCTTTGTGAATTTAACTCAGTGAAGATATTTAAGGCAAAAGTTAGGGTAAGTAAATGTGCTTCCTAACAGTGTCCCTAACAACAACAGTGATACAGTTAAAAGGGATATAAAATTGTAGACCTGGA